ATAACGATAAACCCAAAGCCATACTTTTGTGTACAACAGGATTTTATTATTTTTTCATTGGCAAAACAATTACTGTAAAATCGAACAAACTATTGAAAATACAATAATAAAAAAAATGGTTCGGTTATGACCTTTTCTTAAAATATTCATAAAAATACAAATATTGTAATAAAAGTCCAATATTTTGTTTAAATGGTTATTTATAAGTAGAGCCGAAGCACAAAAAAATGTATGGAATTTATTTTTCAACCTGATTTACTATAAATCTAACCTATATATTTTTAGAAGGTTCTTTTTTTTTTTTATTCTATTTAGGTTATACCACTTGTGTAAGAGAACTATATTCTATCATACATAAGAATTAATCACAATGTACCTCGATAGATATGTATTTTTAATTTTTATAAATGTCTTTATTCGTATAAACATTTTCGACTGATGTTTTTTTATTCTTAGAAATATTTTACGCATTAAATTTTAAAACATTTATTTTCATTTAAAAAACAGCAATAATGCAGAATGGAATGTTATACTTAAAACGCGATGAAAATATGTATAGTGCCAGACATTAAATATATTTTTTCCAGTGTAATACTACATAAATATATAACTATATATAGTCGTTGGTATACCAGTCAAAAGCATTTATCATCTCAACACGTGACGTTATGCGTTTACATATTACCTATCTACATTATATCCGTACACGCATCAGTTAATTATTTAGAGTTATTATAATAATACATTCCAGAAGCTCATCAAGTTCGTTTTTAATGCTATTGACTGTATCAAATCCAAAATTATGGATTACACCAATACGTGATACATACCTTCAAGTATCCTGTGAATGATCAATAAGGTGAATTTTCCCACCAGGAACAACCAAAAAATAAAAAGTATTATTAATATGATATAATGATTGTTTTCTATTTAGTCGAAAAAATTAAGTAGGACAGTTTATATTAACGCATATGTAATTCATGTCATATTTATATATCATTGAATGACTATATATTGCTGAGTAAAAAAACGGTAATTTATTTGTTTTTGATTCGATAATAAAAAACAAAATTTGATTCTTATTAATACACTTAGGCTGAAATTCAATATTTTACAAAATAATAAAAAGAAAATATCTAATATTTTGAATTACAAATGTAAAATACCCTTAAATTTTTTAGCATATGCTAATAGACTTCTCAAGCAAGTGTAAAATGAGATCCCGGTATGAATAGTAAATTCATATTTTGGTTATTTTCGGTAATTTCTGAGTCTCCCTATGGACTTTTTGAAACCGATCAATTAGCTAAAATAAAACACCTTATTGGTTTGAAATCCATAAGGAAATGTCGAACAATACTCTAAAGCTTAAATAATATCTAAAGTTGTCAGGAATCGGTTAGACTTTTGTAGGAGACATTCAAATGTTCTGTTAGGATTTTAAGAATAATTAACATTTTTTTTTTTTAAGTAAATTTTATTTTATGTTACTACTTACTACTATACATAATACAAGGGTCCATAACTCAACATTTTTATATTGTACATAATACCGAATTTTCAATAATTATAAGTTGCTAATATTAATTAAACATATATTTTATTATTATTTTAAATATTTAACCGTCAAAAATCTATTTTGAAGATTTAAAACGATTTCCAAATAAAGTTAAATTTATTCGATGATCAACTGATATTAATTCATAAGGTGGATTAGTATTACACATGAATTATATTAACCTAACCTAATGTACTTATGTACTTATCTACTTAATGCTAACCAATTAATATTACATAGTAATCGTTTCAGTTATTTGCAGTTAAATCATTTTTACGTAGATGAAATAAGAATTATTGTATATTTAGGTAATTTAAGAGAATAAGCGATCCGAGTAAAATTTCATAATCTCAGATTTCACATCAAAAATATTACGAACAATAAAGTTTACAACCGTTGTATCAAATTGTTTTTTTTTATTATTATTATTATGTTAAGAGTAATTTATTTCAGTTCAAACCTGAATCGGATTAAAAACCACTACAAAAAAGTTGTACCTATACCTACCTATTCATTATTACAATGGTTTTACTTTTAATATGTTATTTTATAACAGTATAATTTATTATTTCTAGAACTGTTTCTTCTTTTGTTTTATTTTTATTTTACACGTAATATTGTATGTGTACCTTAGGTTTTATACTTCATACATTTATTTTTTGATAAAAAACATAAAAATATAGTATAAAAATGTATAATAGAAATATATAGAATATTATCGGAAATATTTAATATTCAAAGAAAAATCCAAAATGTGTTATACTATACCGTTTTGAATAAGTTATATCAATATAACTCTTGAGACTCGGTAAGAGTTTTTAGCCATTTCTATCCATATAGTTCTCTATAGAGTAGCTTACACATGAATTTTGTTTCACCTCACAAAAATCTAATATTGTCTTCAGGGATGTACCCAAGGGAAGTTTTCCGGTATGGACCTCTCTTCCTATTAATGACAGATTCTTAAGGTCCAAACCACTGATTTTATAATGTGTTTTATATCGTTTATTTACATTATAAAATATCAAACATAGTGTGGCAGTACATCCCTCGGTCACCGCTACAATGTTTCCTCCTTATTAGTCTCCCTTTCTCGATTAGTATCATCTACCAAATTATAATTAATTAATCGCAAGTTTTCGCTTGTACGCACAGTGATATAATATATAACATATACATATGTTATAATATGTCTATGCTCATACGCTGCTTAAGAGTTATGATGATAACGATTACAACAATAGTAGCACAGATGATATTTTTTCTATACCTCCATAGTCCATGACTCTATAGAGTATAATATAGTACTATTTACGTGGTATTTTTCGAAGTATTACCTCCAAATGAGTATATAAATAAATAATAATTATATTGATGTGTAATGTCTTCTTGTGCTAATTGCTATATTTGTTTATAAGTATTTATGTAATTGTTATTGTTTAACATATTAATTTAAAATAATAAATAAATTATCAGAGTTATCTGGAAAAGCAAAATTAGAAAATTTCTTTTTTAAAAAATATACAGATATTTAAGAAAGTAAACATTAATATTTTTGTGTAACGTATTTGAAAAAAATTTTGGACCTTTAGTAATGAAATATGAACCTATCGAAAATTATGGTAGTTTTAGAGCTGTATTAATATGAAAACTTTGCATGACTTATACAAAATGTTCTGATCTTTAAATAATAATAAAACGTTGTAAACATAATGTACAGTATATTAATCTAAAAATACAAAATAACATTTTTTATGACACATAATAATTTAATACTTGATAAAATAACTAAAAAATTGAATTCCTCTAAAGGTTTTTGTGTTCTTACCGCTTAGCTGCTAACGTAGCTGGAGTGGAACATTTTTAAATTTGTATATTTATTATAATGAAATAAAAAAAGACTACCTAAATTCACAATATTTGAGAGGGCAAAATTACTATGAGGCAGCTACTATTAGTAGAACATTTAATGATATTCAAAGAAAAAAAAAATAGTACAAGACAGCAGACAGCAGTATAAAATATTTATTGCAGTGATCATGTGTTAAATTAAGTAATATATAGTTTTTGTAAAATATCTTATATCAGATATTCGATGGGTGTTATTAAAAGTGTATATAATTTTATGAATACTTCTAAAAGACAATATTTGCTACAAATTGAAGTAAGAAATAAATTAATATAAAATTCAAAGAAAGAAAAATTAATAAAATTATGTGCGACGCAGTGAGTAGAAAAACATGAATCCATTAAAATATATTTTATTGATTTACAAGAAGCTATAGTGAACTTAATAAAGATAATGGTAGGGTGGGTTGATAAAGAAGCTTCCTTAAAAGTAACACAACTACTTCTTTTATTAAGTGATACAACATTTAATATAAGTTTGATGGTTATTGATGAAATTTTCAAATATTCTTCTATATTATGTAAAGCATTACAAAGAAACAATATTGATTTAATCAAAGCAATGCATTTAACTGAATATTTAACTAAAGAAATAAAACGAATAAGACAAATTTGTGATGAAGTTTTTTAAACATTTTTATGATTTTAGAAGAAAAATCTAAACATTTAAATTTTAAAACTCATATTCCAAAAATGTGTAAGCGCCAAATCTACTGTTACAATATTTTTACAAACTCTACAGAAGGAGAATTTTAGAATATTAATTTTCACACCATTTTTAAATTATTGTATCGATCAAATAAATAAACCTTTTATTAAACACAGATCAATCTCAAAAGAATTTCAGTTTTTATTAAACAATGATTTATACAAAAATAGGAATGACGTTTTAGAGCAAATATATATTTATAAAGAATACAGAAACATTAATAAGTTACTACCAGTTGTATACACGATATGTTTTACAGTATTTGTATTCTTGTTTACCCTCCTAAAAACTATATATAATATTCAACCAAATAAATTTTAAAACCAAAATAACTAAACATTTTAATATTTAATACAAATTAAAAATAAAACTTATTAAACAATATTTACACGAATAACACTAATAATATTCATTAAACTTCATATCAATCTCAGATTTCTTAAAATACAGTGACAAACTCTTTAAATTATTTATTTTGAATTAAGCTGGATAAAAAAGTATGAAATACATTTTATTCTTTTTTTATTTAATTAATTATATATATATATATAATTTTTATTTCTTTATACAACAAAAATACATTTATTTTCAAATTATTACTAAAAAAAAAATGTATTTATACAGACTAATACAATTAGATACCCTGTACAAAAATCTATAAAATAATAAAATATATCTACATATTGCATGTGTCCATTTTGGTATACAAATGTATTATGAATACAATTTAATTAAACACTATGACTACAAATAATATCAGTAAACAATTGTCAAATCATTTCTCATATTTTCCTAGAAAATATAATTTATTCAATTTCAACTAAAATGTCCTACAAAGCAAAAGAATCAAAAAAACAAATAAAATTTAAGTGCAAACCTCAGTTACACCCTAGCGACCAATGGGTTTCAATTGGAACAGGAAATTATTATAAAGGAAAATGGAATCATAGAACGATGTCTGGAGATGGAATTTACGTCATGCAAAATGGTAATCAATTAAAATATTTTATAAAGATGAATCATCACTGTTTATTTACTTACATGTAGGTACATATAATGTATATACTCGTACATTAATATTATAATTTATAACCTAATTATTTTATTTTAAAACTTAATTTCGTAATTTTAATTTTATCATTACTATCACAATGTATAATAATTTAAACCCTTAGAAAATTAATTTATTTGTTATTGAAATTATGTTATAGCGTATTTAGTTTATACGTACGGTTACTTTTGGTAAAACAAAAAGAAATGTTTCTTAAATAATAAAATATTATTAGAATATTAAAACAAAATATTAGTCAATCACAAGTTGACTAGATTTGACACTTTATATGTCATTGTTTTAATTGTAAAGATATGAAATGTTATTATTAATGATGTAGTTTATGATAAAAATATCGAAATATATAGGTAATATAATTAATTTGTACTTTACTTACGCTTACCTACTGCATATTATGACATTAAAATCGATATTGGATTAACACAGCTCTATTGTATCTCATCAAAACAGTTATTATTCATACATAGTATGTTTAAAACCTACAGTTATAAAAAAATCATGTTTCAGTGTAATACATAACATAACATAATATTATAATTATTTTATAAATTGAATCGATTATTTCAGAAATCCGTAAAGTACAAATTTTAAAATTCCCAGTTTGTCGCAGAAAGCAGTCTCAAGTGCCATTTATTAACCGGTTTCTAAACTAAACACATTATTTGACCAAAAATTAAACAGCCATAGACTTTCGATACTTGACGGGTTTTTGCATTAAACGAAGTATTTTATTTCATAAAACAATAATCTGAACCTGACACATTTTTCATCATTTTGGCGTCTGATGGGTTTCTGAAATAATCGCTTCAATTACATAATCGTAAATAGTTTAAATACAACTAATTTTTATAATTAATTAAATATATTAAAAAGAAAAATATTTAAATGGTAAAGGGATGGCTGGCGGTCGTTTTTTTAAATTTTTTTAATTTAGTTAGCAAAAGTTGAATAAACCATGTATAAATATGTGAGTATGAATATAAAAGAACACTATTGAGTGATAAATACATTTGATTTGCTCTTAGATTTAATAAATGTTTTTACTGACTGTCTTCTTAAAATGAAATTTATTTGGTGTGTAGTTTAAAAAAAATATCACTGAATCGATTTTTAGGAACTGTTTACGAGGGCAATTTTGACGACGGATTGTTTCACGGAGATGGATCTATATACTATTCATCAGGATCCCGAATTGAAGGAGTTTGGGAAAAAGGCAAATGTGTGCAACAAAATTACATATTCAGTGACGGTCTCAGATTTCAACAAAATAATTGGCAGTACTGTAAGGTGCCCGACAGAAGGTATTACTCCTGTCAACAATATCCCTATTAAAATATTAATATATTTAAAACGTTTAAAAATATATATAATATATATTCTTCAATTTTTCAACCACGATAAATAGATAATAATAAAATATAATTTATTTAATATAAAATTTGAATGATCTTGAAAATTTATCAATATTAATACTCTAAAATATATATTATATATATTATAAATTAATATTATTACTTTTCTTTAAATAAATTTACAAACCTAAATAATGTTTGTTAATATATTTTAAATTTTCCAATTCGATTAGATAGATGAAAACCGAATTTTTATTGTATTTTATATTTATGTCATTGTGAAATTACACTGAACGTGAAATCAATAAACAAAAAATGTTTAGACATTATTATATTAATTATACACAACTTCCTGACAATTGCCACGAACGATCGATACCTACTCGAGTACTGTACATGTTGCATACATAGTCTATTTCGTTTACAATTATAATAGTAAAAATATAAATTAAACTTATAACCATTAAATATATTATTTAAGTAGTAAAAAAAAATAAGTATTATTTATGGAATAGCTATTGTTTTAAAATCATAGTATTTATACTGCAATAATATAATATTTTTTCAAAGGTACAAATATTAGTCTACATTACGATGTTTTTTTTCTATATAACTACTTTATATCTATATTTAAATATTATTATCCAGTTTCGTACCAATAAAATTAAAATGTTTGTAATTTTTACTTTGGAATTAAACTAAGCTGATTATTTTTTTTATTTCATAAAAAAATCACAGATTATTTTCATTTGTTTTATATTTATAATGAATAATAAAACATATTACTAAATATTCATATGAATAACTATTATTTATTTTAAAAATATACATATTTATAACATCTAGATATCGCCTAAAATTCAAATGCTGTTAATAGTATTTTAGAAGTAAGAAATGTTTATTCTGTATGATTTATATAAATAACAAATACATAAAAATATACTCTTATCGGACAATTCAAGAACTGAACTTTTTTTCAATGTAATGCTTAAATATATTTTTAAAATTAAAAGCTTACGAATGAATGGGAAATTAATTAAAATGTACATAATGTAAATAAAATGTCCAAGTTGTTTAAACTAAAACCTATACAAACATTTTGAGAACTTAATACGTGTAAAAACAAATTGTAGAAACTCGTAGCATTTAAAAAATTAAATTAACCAGTCATTGCTCGAACATTACAATTTCATTAACTGTGCAGAATATTTTATAGTTTTTAATTGAAATGGATTAATTAATCAGCGTCGTGAAAAAGTCACAGTTTATGTACAAATTTGTTTATACATATGTATATTAAATTGATGCTTCAAGATCAGAATAATTTGAGCATAAATCAATTAGAATAAATGAACTTAAAAAGTATGCAAAATGATGAATTTATTCATAAATACATTTTTACCATTATAACTTGATTAATCCTTTTCATTAATATTCTTAAACGGAAATTTTTCCAAAGTCTGATTTAAAATATTATTAATTTTAACACGTCGAAAAAAACGACATTAATATTAAAAGATAGCTTTTGATCGTCACGACGGATACGTAGTTATGCTTAATATTGTGAACATATAATATAATGTATCTGAAATATTTTCTGACCAAGATTTCATACCAATACATGATATTGGTACTATAATTATATTAGTTAAGTCTATAAATGCATGATGTGTGGAAGCTGCATAGGAACGTTATAAATGGATCGATTGCGTATGCCATGACAATATTGTTTCCTGTTTAACATTTCCTATACATAGGATATATTTTGCACTATTTCGTACTATATTATTCCTGAGTAAATGCAAATTCCGTAACCAAAACCATAAACTGCAACCATTGGTGTCCAAATTATCACATGATGTATATTATATAATTATACGATAGTACACTATGGAAACTCGGACAACTATGTTAAATCATAAACACGGTATTATGGAGTAAACGGCAAATCCAAATCTAAATTATTTGACCCCCATAATTGGCACAGACAGTAATTCGATGGGAAATGGTTAATCGTTCCCTGTAGAACTATATTTTTAAAATTTGACAACAAAAGATATCTCTACATACATACGGTATCTTAATATCAGTGTTTGTCTTCTAAATGTATTAGTATAGCTTAACTAACAAAATATAATGAAAATAACTAAAATCTTATTTAATTTGTTCTATGAATAATATACCTACATTTTTTTTTTATATATATAAATATAGTATATTCATACGTAATATTTTACCATTTTTACCTAATAAAATAAATTTGAATTATCACAATGGCATTAAAAAAAAAATATCTACATATTTTTAATATTTTCATTACTGTACTATGTACCGCAAAAATTCTACCATTTACATGGGTACGTTTATTTTACTAATGCCTAAATAGTAAATATTAGTGTTGGGCAACGATATAATTTTGTGTATCGATATCGTTCAGATTTTTCCGATATTTTATCGCGATATCGTTATTTGTACGATATCGATATCGTATCGAAAATATAATTTTATGTTTACCTAAACAATTAAAAAAAAAACTTTTCGTAATAATTTGATTATTAATCAGTAATCACTATACGATGTTAGAAATGTTCGAAAAATAACGGACGTTTACATCACACCGACGACACAAATTACACTGTGAATTATGGAATATCCAGTGGTAGTGTGGTACTATACCGTATTCCTCTTAAAAGCCAGCTAAATATAATATTCAATAAAAGTTATAACATTGTTGGCAATATAAAAAAAACCTGTTTCCTTTTTAGATAACATTATAATGGATTATTAATAGTGTACAATAATTGACATTTCACTGGAACACGCGTAGTGTACACCAAACGTTATCAGCTGACACCTATTATTATTTATTATAGCTTAAAACCTACAAATAGTAAATACTAAATAGTAAATACCATGTATTTTTCTTGAAAAATATTATTTTCGATATAACGATTTATCGTACAATACAAAATAATATCGATGTCGATAATTTGTCACGATATCGATATCGTATCGAATTATCGATATCGTTGCCCATCACTAGTAAATATACAATATTCCGTGCAAAATAATTAAATGCTTAAGTAGCTAGGTTACTAGACGTATTTTATTCATTAATAATTTAAACTCAGTGTGAAATTAAATTAAAAATAAGTAAATTATATAGATGACTTACTTTATAGTTTGCCAAATACCAAACAGCTTAAAATATCTAAAACAAGTAATATCTATTTTTCTTAGTATTCCACTTAAAAAAAAAAAAAAATGTATTAGAGTCGTCTTTATACTCGTACTATCGAAAAAAAATATTTTTAAAAATGTCTTATTATCCTTAAAAATATCTTTCGTAATCCTTACAATAACAAATAAGCTGTTCATACATAAGAAAAAAGTTTTTGAGATTAAGTAAAATTTATATTTATATATATATATATATATTTACTCGAAAGTACCTACCTATACTTTGTCACAGGGCGGATTAAATTCATTTTTGTCGAACAAAAAATTGACATCCGCTGTCATTTTATATTAATGATGTTATTGTGAACACATATGGTAGTTTGTTACTAACGAAAAAATACTTATAATTTATAACATAATGAAAAACTACCAAAAAATATATTAATAAAAAAGCTACTAATGCTGCTATAGACATCTACCAAAGTAATACAATCACTTTTATCTTCGATAAAACCATACCGAAAATTCCAATTAATATATTTTTCTTTATTATTCATGATACAGCTTCAACTGCTATGGTTATTAGCTTGTAACAAAAAAATGAAAATATTATTGGTTAGATCATAATATAGTAATACTATATATTATGGTTCCTTAAATAGGTTGTACATATCTGTTTTTTTTTTTTTTTTGGTTACAATAAATAGTATAATAGGTCTTTAGATTAGATTATACATATCAATTTGTTTTAGAAATGAGATTATTTTATTGGTGTTGTCAAGGGTTAGACTGAGGGCTTTGAAGAGGTTTTCGGACAATTCTAGACTTTTCTGGTATCTATAAAATTACGACAGTGGACCAGGAGGTGCTTGGCTGTGAGAGATTTTCCGCAAGTTTGGCACATCACAGGTTCTTCTCTGCACATAAGATGTCCATGGGATATCTTTGAGTGACTTATACGTAGTCTGTTGATGACTACTTTATCTTTAATTAATATTTACACTTATAATAATCATTATTTAATTTATATTTTTCAATGCTGTTAGAATTTCCAAAAGAACCATGAAAGCGATTTTAAATAGTATTGTAAACACAATATTAAATCAATACAATTTTTGATTCATCATCATCATTATACCGGCCATCGTTATTTTAGATTTGCCATTGAACATGTCAATGGTTTTGAATCAGCTGCTAGGAGTTATCTTACCAATCGACAGCCTACGATCGTAGTGCCAAATGGAGCATATGACGCGGGTGATGGATTTTACTGGCCGCTTACGAACACTGTTCACAATTACTGGACAAGTGAGTTGATTAGGTAAGTATCTACAAAGTTCTAATGCTCAAACATAATATAATAATATAAATACAAGCAAATTTCTCGATGGTTAACGAGATTTTCACGAAAAACGGTCAATAAACGCTGAAATTATTATTATTTGATTTGCAACCATATAAGCTATATTATATTCATTTAACCTAATTCAAGAAGAATATTTATCTAAAAAAAAAATAAAGTTTTGTATTTTTCTTCCAACTGATTTTTATTTTATAAAAAAAAAAATTTATAATTCCGTAGTAAACTACAGTGAGTATTACCAAATGTTATTTTTAACAATAGTTTAAACAGTAGATAAATTATTTAATCGTGCCACGGCTATTTTTCACCAAAAGTCATTAAATTCTTTATTTTTTTTTTAAATTTTAATATTAATTGAATAATTAATTTTGCATAACTAAATTAATCACTAGGTAAGTTGGTAGTAGTTGCATATTATTTAATATACATATTCAAAAGTTTATGCCGTGCAAATTTACTTTTATTTGAAACAAATGAACAATGTATCTGTCATTATTATGGACACTATTAATGATCGTTAATTTATTTATTTTTTATCGACATTGTCAAAAATTGTCAAATTACATATTGTTATGTAAAAACAAATTATTGATGTGCATACTTCATAATAGCTTTACACGAGTATGTTCCTCTCATATAGGGTCCCAACGGTAGAATGCAGTAATTGGATTATTGAAAACTGTCATCGAGGTGGCAGAAGAGTGGTAGGTTTTCAACCAGAGTTTTACAAAAATTGGTATAGTACAACAGAAGAAAATGAAGGAGAATCTACAACTGCAGATAACAAATCTTCCAAACAATTCATTCACGACGACCAATCTATTATGGCTGAAATCAAATCAGTTCCTTGGTTCGATTTATCTCTACCAAGCATTATACAGTAAGCAAAAATAATTACAAAACAAGACTATTTTAATTGTGTTTTATTCTAATTTCTATTAATCTAATAGTTAGACCGATATATTCATCATCAATAATAATTAATTTTTAAAAACCACAAAACGAAATAATATATTTCATGTAACTGTTTAAATACGTTCTATTTTATTAGGCTTTTGTTGTCTTTACTTCTAAAGTCTTATTCATTATTATATTTTATTTCCATATATACTTATTTAATAACAATATGTTAAAAAAATGCATTATAATATACTCGTAATTGACTGTGTGAGTAATTAAATAGTTATCTATTATGTCAAAATCATAAGTTATTTAATGTAAGTATAGTACCTATTGGTAATGCGATAATATTTAAATATAATTTTTGTTATACAATATTATATAAATATATGATTATAAATTTAATTATGAATTTACACTTAATCAAATATAATAAGTTATTATTATCATCAATTCGAAAACATCTATGATAAACCCGCTTATTTTTTTTTTTAACTATAACTTGTGTAATTAATTTAAAAAAGACTTTTTACACGGACGTAATCATTTTCCGCCAAAGTGACCTCTACCGTTTTCACAATGACCGCTTTTCTCTAGAGGCTATATTCCAATTTACACTAAAAAAATATATTTATATATATATATATATTATTTTTAATATTTTTATAGAACTCCTGAACTATATCCATCAAGCTATAATGATTATGATTTACACCCCTCGCCTCACCTAAATCACGTAATCACATCAATATTAAAAGTTTAACATTAATATATATTGGATTAAAATATAAAACATAAAAAGTACAAAAATATAAATAGATTGTTAATTCAATGTTTTATTGTACAAAAAGTAGACTTTTTTCGTAGCGCCTACACTTTGAAATACCGTACACCTATAAACGTATTAGACACATTAAAAATATTTATAAATCAGCAAAATATACCCATGGTTACTCGTTATCATTTCAATGTTCTCATTATAAAAAAAAAAAAAAAACAAAAAAAAAAAACAATTAACATGCAGTTCAATAATTATTTTAAAAATCAATAATTAATTTTCACTAATGTTGTCGCGGTATAAATTCACTGAAGCTTTTATTAGCATTCACAATAACACGTCCAAAATATCAAAATCGTATAATATTATTTTAGTGAAAATCAAAACATAAATTTTAATGGAAAACAGAAATAGTGACAACAATTGAAGGTCATTTTGGCGAAAAACAGAAATCTTTCTTTACACCTTACTTATCATTCTCAATTTCCATCCAGTGACGTTCAAATAATTGTTATGTTAAACCATTGCAAGTTCAAGTGATGATATTTAAGTCGATGGATATTTTTTTTTATTTTTTTTTTTTTAATTTAAACGCAAACAATGATCTGTAATTTGTCTATTCCGTTTGACTATAAAAAATGTAAAATGGTGATGTAATTTTATATTATATTATAGTCTGTGACTTTTTGATAATAAATGTAATAAGAAATACCGCAAATTCCTCAGACTACACAATTATTAATATCGTGTGCCAACTAATACCAGAATTAACGGAATTATTTTTCAATATTTATTGTAAAAGGTTAGCTGTCTAAGAAATTAATGAAAAGCTTCGAGAGGAAATAACTCTGAAAATAAATATATTTTATACAACAATATATTGTTGTAATATCAGAATATAAGAATGAATATGATATGTTGTCATATTTTATATTTATGAAGTATTTTGCATGTAGGTATCTATTAATAATATCGATCATATTAATATATAATACATTTTTCACTAAAAAAAAATATAGCTAAGATTAACACTTAAACATTATCAAAATATAAATTTTTTATAATATCTAATAATTAATATCTTAGTCTACTTTTGTGGTATTAAAAATTTGCTCTATATTGATTTCTTAAATATAGTTATAAAAACTTATGTTAAATTGTATAAAAATATGTTTGTCAAAAAAATAACAAAAATCTTATTTGAAAATCATGGTACTTGTAGTACCATGATTTTCATCATGTAGCTATTGTACATAAAATACTATGAAATTATACATGTTTAGCCCATTGAAAAGATTGGTATATAATACCAAATTCATCATATATAGAACGAAATTATAAATCATAAAAAAATTAATTTGTGTCACTATTTACATTAATTTGATTAATAACAAATTAGAGTATATACATAATTATTATTTATTTACCTGATAACATTAAAAATAAATGATAAGCTTGAGATTTTTTTTCGATACCTATTCCAATAGTTAATTAGTTGTTGAATTAACGGTTAAGACCACAGTTGTTTATTTTTAGCAAATATTTTATTTAAACGACTTAAAAATTTAAACAATATCTACATAATATAGATTAAAAAAAATATATATGTATGACAGTTTTTATTTAAATTTAAAAAACAAAGCTCTAGCGCGTTGATGAGCTAACTGATATTAACCAAATGTGTTGTTTGAAAAATGACCAAAAATAGTGAACTCACTCAGTAAATCTGTCAACATTATACATAAACACTTGATATAAAAATACATTTTATTTAGAAATTAATTAAAAATAGTTTATTGAAATTTAAATTAAATATATACATGATAAAAATTGCACTTATAAAACAATTAAAAAGTATTATGTATGAGGTTATTTCAATAAAACTAATAAATAAATAATCGTTGTCCTACTCATATCTATAAACGAGAAACATTGTTGGACTTTAATATACTTTTATTATTACATTCGGTTATGATAAAAAACAATTGACATTATTATTAATATAATCAACAACAATAAAATGTTTTATTGATATTATTAAGTATTCATACTTCATTTTTTATTATGTACATTACAATGAATGATCCAGCTTAATTACTGTAGCATCAAACGATGTTAAACATCGAAAAATATGTAATTAATTTAATAATACCTTTACCAATTATACACACTGTATATTAAAATATAATTATTATAACACACCTACTCGTTTATAATGGCGTAGGTCAAAAACATTGTAAAACCTTGTAACATACAACAGACACAAACTTTTGTTGTTAATAAATAATAAATTGTTTATAAGAAAAAAAATCATTAACCGTCATATTTGCATAGTTTATTCGTTTTCAATACGTACATAAATCGTCACGTAAATCATTTTTAAATATTAATTACCTACTTGAATTAAATCTGTATATAATCTACATCCGAAAAAATTCGGTGAATGCGTTACCAAATATTTCTCGACAAAAGTACTTATGTTTGCAACTGTAAACTTCAAATAGTTCAAACTAATTACAATGTCATGTTTTATACAGTAATATTATTAAAACAAAAGAAAACTCTTAAAGTTTAATTACTCGTTTTCAGCACACTTTAAGGGGGGATATGGATAGTCAAATGCTGTAATAATACCGGTATATATGATACGGCGATCTCTTCCCCAATTATACATTTCTGACAAATAGTGGAATACGGAGTGGTCCATTTAACGGTACCTAAATTTATTTCATCACTAAGTTTTGAAAATGTGAACAAATAAAAAGTTTAATTAGTTTTTATTCTATTGACAGTTTAGTTTAATTAGAACAAACACACTTACTTTAATTGTATAATATTCTGACGTAGACAAATCATCAAACAACTTTTAAATTGTTGATAAACATAAAAGCAAGTTGAAAGTACCCATAAATGTTAAAAGTAAAAGATATACGTATATATAATGTTTCAACATATCATAAACTTGAAATATCTTGGTAAGCTATATTACTATGAGATAGGTACACAATACAAATTCTAGAAAAATATTCTGCATCAAAATGAATTTAAATTATAAATATATTTATAGTAAATTAGATAAAACTATAAATTTATCCAGAAACTTGACAATGGTATGATAGAAAACAACAGCTGGCTATTTTGAAAAAAAATCCAATAGTGCACAATTTTGTTGTGTCTACTGTCTACTATTGAAACTGAATTGAAAAAATACACTTTTTAAAATATGATAATATTATAAATATTACGAGTTTAAGAGTAAGATATATTATACATTATTTAGTACTAATAATGTTTTGAAATGCGTATTTAAATATGTAATATAAATCACGAAATATGTACAAAAAACATTGGCTGACAGATGATTATTAACTGTTAATTCAAAAGTAAAAAAGGTGTTAAAAAATACCGAAAGTGTTGATTATTTTAATTTCACGAATATCTTAAGTATAGAAATTCGTCATTTCGTTGTGAGTAGTGACGAACAAAATAACGGTACAAAATTCACTGAAAAACACGATTAACCCGGATGTATTTAAAAAAAAGATGAAAAATAAATTAATGACTTAATATGTGATGTTGAAAAATGAAATTTTATGTTTGTATAATAAAATAGAAAAAAATATTAAATATTATATATCAAAAAAAAAAACATCGTAAATAAAATAAAAATTATAAACAATATGACAAAGATTCGAAAAAAAATACAAAATAATATTTTAGTGAGTATACGCAATAATATTAATGATTAAATAAATTACGATTTTTTTCCTACACTCTCACTTATTGTAAATATTTATTTTATAGACTGTGTATACAAAAAATTTAAATTAAAATAATATATACGTATAATATATTTATTATAATTTACTTCTTAAAGGTAACAGCATTTGTGTTTCTATTAAACTCTTAATCTGATTATTACTCAATTTCAGGTCGATACATGAACCTTTTCTATTGGATCAATTTTCTTCATCGTCGTCGTCGTCATCGTTATCAGTCGAAAGTTTTCAACTAAGCCGTTGTCAAAGGACATTGATGTTGACTGACTGAGAGGCTGCAAATTGCAGTTAACGAATTAATAATAACATTGAAGGATCACTACCAACGATTATATTTAAAAATATAAATAATAAATAAAATATTGAGAATAATTAAAATTGATTTAATGTGTTATCAATGATTCTACAACTCAATACATAAAAATTACAAAATATGGAGAAGCGATTAGTGTGATTTATAAAAATCGTATTTCGAATTTTTCTTTTTTTTTTTTCAATGGTTATTCGCTATACAGATGAAATTATTGTGTTGTAATTCGTGCTATAAGAAAGTGCACAACTATGTATTGGAATAAACATGACAGCATTTGTCACTACATAAATAATATTATGTACTAGACAGTAGACAGTAGACACTACGAAAAGTGAATTGCTTGGTTAGCTTTCAAGTACATAAATACACGATAGTAAAAATATTGTAATGCAATATTAATAAGATTTAGGCTTCTGTTTTATAATATGCCTGTTATATTATTATATAGGTACAAAAACCATTTATTATAATATGATAATATTATATAGTATGTACAATATACGTCATAAATGATTCACTTAACACGTATTAATAAATTATACTTTGGTTTTTATATTTTTATTTTAATCATCTCCTTCAATGAAGTCTTATTTGTAGTACTTGTTTTATAGCGAATTCGCCCTGCACAGTGTACTTATAGCAAGTATAGCATTACCTATGATTTTACATCACACACGCGTCGTCAACAGAAACAATAATAATAAATATAAATAATACGCGCAAAGCAATTTTCAAGTGATACGTTATAACTTATATTACGGATGGGACGCAAAAAATTAAAATTTATGAGTTGCGAAGACCTTTATATATACATACTACGAGAAACTGGGAACTTATAATATGTTTAAGGAGGAAGTATTTACGAGCCACATGCTAATATTTTTATTAAAAAAGATTAACCAGCAGTTTTAAAGTATAGACACTGACCTTGATATTGCCTGTGTAAATTGCGGTGGACACGTTATTATTATAAAAAATCTTTTGTCACCACAGATGTAGTGACGTAATTACATTCTAATCTTGTCAAAATCATTATTAGATACTTAAACGCAATGTTAAATAATAACTTAAATTTGAAATACGACAATAATTGGTCTGTGAATAATATGTGATGTTAAAAATTTTAATGTTTCTATTACCTACGATACATAACGTAATGATATTTTATTGGAACTATTCGTTTGCGAAAAATATTGTTTCATTATTTTTTCTATATATCAAAAATTTATTTACACGTATATTGTTCTAAAAAGATCGTTTTTAGTATATTTTTAATTTTTTTTTTTTTTAGTATTCAAAATAACGATGAAAAAATACCCATTTAGTTAAGTGAAATCTGCAAGAAATATTTAAAACAATCTGTATATTCATAAACACATTAAGTAATTTTGATGTAGATGTATAAAAATAAATATGACATTAAATTATTTTTCGAGGAAATCGTCCATTGATGAAACAATTGATTCTATTAAAAAAATTTTAAAAAAATAGAAAAATATTCTAGGAAAGCCGAACTAGTCATACGTAATAATTTATCATTAGTATAGATTTTAGTTTTTCGTAGTACACAGAACTATTAAATCATTGTTATGAATGTTTTGAATGTTTTTAATTATTTTAAATATGTACTATAATTTTGGTTGCTGTATATTATGTTACACTCGGCGTTTCTAAAATATACACGGTTTTCATAGTTGTTTGGTTTTTATAACGATATGTATTCGCCAGAGGTCAAACGTATTAAATGTCTGAGAAACCTGCAGATTTGTTATCCATATGAGCGCAAAGTTTATTTTCCGTCAAGTTGTAATATGCTAATACACTAATAATATGGTTTAGGAATATATACATATTATAATATTCCTCCGGTGTGTGTATACAAATAATTGATTTCATTTCTGTTTACTCGGAACGTGGATTTTCCGTTTACACAATAATATGCGTGAATATGAAAACAAGAACCTTTAATTTAATTTACAAGAAACCGGTTTTAACTACAATCGCGTAAATTATAAGCTGTATACATTACCAACCTGTCTTGTGACTTCGGTCTTAATAATAATTATAAAATAATATCTCGATAACATTATCGTTGTATTGGCGATCGGCGCGATCGATTCAGTGTGAATTCGTGATCGAACGACTATCAACGATGTCGGCGTCTCGACTATCTTTCGTCATCGTCGGTAAGTCCATAATCGATAACTAATAAATACGTTTAAACGATAATATTTAGCAATAGGTCTTTTTTTTTTTTTTGTGTTTACGCGATAAGTACCTATTTTGTTAAACAAATGATTCGATCTTCAATTTATGGGGACGGTTTCTTATGGAAAACTGGATCCAGTTTGCATTAAGAATTCAAAAATGACGATATTTTTATGATGATCGAGATAAACAATTAAAAAAATATTGGCAAGTTGACGCTTCTGTACTGTACATAGTGGGTATCGAGTGAGTCACTGTACAATGAATGTGTTAAGTTTTAAATCAATGTATTTTAATAAATTATTGTATACGAAAAACGATTCCGTGCGGAGCCGGTCTGTCAATCTATGTATATCATCGAATATTTTTCACAATATGTGCAATTCAGCTATTGAAGTAATTTATAAAATACCTCTGTCACTTATGAGGAACATCGTATTACATTTTGAAACCTTAACTATAAAATTTTAAAATTTTATACAATTTTTAACAATAAGTGTTAAAGCTTAAGTCAAGGAAAAATTATAAATAAAACAATTTAAAATAAAATAAATACATTTTTTATTACAAAATATTTGTAGTTTGTACATTTTTGTGATTTAATAATTTTTAAGTACATTTTTCATAATGCATACTAATTTTATTCAAAACGTAATTATTTTAACATAAAACAAAAGTACCTATATAACCAAGATAACATATTAAACAAAATAATGAACAGAATTTTACTCTTATAATATTATTTTTTAAATTCCTTTATTTGAAATGTAAACTAAATAAAATAAAATTTGCGCTATAACAATAATAATTATTATTATTCATAATGTGCTCACATATTAAATTATATTTTAATGTTATACATATTATGATTTATACTTCAAACAAATTATACACTTACGTACATTAAAATATCCAATCACCAAGCATACTAATCTATACAACGTAGTTTCCAAACAAGCTATGTTTTTTTATAATTTATAATTTTGAATCATGTTTGGGACAAGATTTTATTGATTTCTCAAGATCTTTTTTTTTTTACTAAGGAAATAAGTAAATAGTTTTTGCTAGTATATGTTGGTTTAAAACAACCTATCAATTTCAATAGGAAGTTATTTGCTTAAGTAAGTAACTGGGGATTACATTATTTTTCATACTGAAAAAATGATCAACTAATATAAACAGAAATTTAGTAAGTATGGAAAAATATAAACTTTAAAAAAAAAAACTTACAAATCGTAAATTCTTCAATTTTTTTTTTAAATTAGCATATACATTATTGATAATAATATAATATACTTTTATTTTATTTATATACTATAAATTACGATATAATTCTAACAAAAATTCCGACTTAATACTTCTTAATTTCTTATCAGTCATCATTAGTATCTGGGTATTTTAACGAAAAAAAACTTCACATAGGCTGACTAATATGACTGATGTGTAACAATAAGTAACTTGATAAAAGGTAAAAACATAGTTTGTTAAATCTAAAGATTCTATTGGCATAACTTTTTAGCAAATCAATGAATTCCTTTTTTATGGTCATACCTAAAAATTGATAAATGCGCAGGTTTAGAAAATTGTTTTTAAATTTTCTCAAATTTATCCATAACGCGAAGGTATTAATAAAATACCATTTTTTTGTATAATTATTTATTAACTAATATCACAAAATCATTTCAAATTGAGTAAAAGTACACATTTTCAGGTTAATTTAAATGTTCAGAAAACTTGTGAATAAAAACAAATAATAATTTTTGAATAGAATTAAATTAATATAATTTACTTCGATCAAATATCTTATAAAGCTGTGTATAAAATGTAATTAAGTATAATAAATGAGTGCCAATTAATTAACAGTTATTTACTGCAGTCATCTACCGATACCAATATTTTAGTTTTAGATAATATTCGATGTGAAGAAACGTGTTGGCTATATAATTGTAGCTGTTTTTAAGATTTTCCTATAAATATACAATATCTGTAGTATTACAACTATTATCTATATAATTTATGATTTCTTTAAAAACTTAATTGTTCGCAAAAAACTAAATTATTTAAAAAAAATGTAAACAAAAATAAATAGTAAGCACCGTTTGAGTCCTATAAACATTAATATTATATAGGAAACAATTTTTAATGATATTTAATAATATTTATACAAACATGGAACTTAATAACAAAATAAAAACGAAAATTATGAAAACAATAGAAAATTAACATTCAAGCGGTAGGACATTATAAAAAATAATGATTAAAAAAAAAAAAAAAATACGCGTTCGTAAAAAATTATAACAAACTTCGTTAGGTACACCAATCTAGTGGATCTAATTTATAATATTTATAATGAGAAATTTTAAAGTTAAATATTATATTAATGAACGTGACAATTGTTTTTAAGATTATTATTATTACAAAATCATGACAAACATCTAACGTATTGTACGTATATCTATATACAAGGTTATTTTTCAATTCTTATTAAATATAAAAACAACTGTATTCCATAATAAAAAAATATATATCTGAGATGCTGAAGGTCATGAACACTAAACAAAGAATCATTGGTTGTTATTTTTCTGTAAAAAATCAAGATTACCTCTTTGGTTGTATAGTATAGATATATAGTTAAAATAATTTAAAGGTTTCATTTATATCAATCCATACCGTACTAAACATATTATATTTGCATGCAATTTTTATTTAACTAGGTATCAATATCATTAATGAAAACCTCTCAATACTTCTTACTAACTTGTTAACTTTATCTGTACATTAAACAAGCTTCTGCACTTAGCGATTGAGTGTCCGAAATCCCCAAAACACTATGTATAAATAAAACACTCAAATCATTTTAAATTTGAATTTTATCCTGATGTACCCATTATAGCTCATCTAACCAGGGATAAAATAAAAAAGCAAAAAAATATTTTCAATATAAATATCAATCTCATTTATGTAACTAAATTTTTTTGTTAAATAAAGCCTATACATTTTGTCATTTAAGAATATAAGTATCATCTATTTTATTCGTTATCCAACACATGTTAAAAAATAAAAATACGTAATATTCTAACTCTTGTGGATATGTTTTAAATGCAATTAACTCAGCGATAATTTATTAATAAAAAATAACCAGATTTTTTCATTATCAACGAATTATTGATATTCAAATTGTTATTTTATACTTGAGCTTCATTAACAAATAGGTAATTATCACTTCATTATAACATAGTTTAAACGAATAAAATATCTATTAAATATTCATCATCTGCGGAAATTTGTTAATATTTATGTGCTGATTAATAGATGTATTTACTATATTTAAAACTATCTATATGTTTTTATGTATTATAATAAATTCATTTATTTTGTACATTATACCCTCGGTTATCTACTACTAGCAGATAACATTGATCATATCTTAAACCTTTAAATCTTTTTATTAATATAATATGTAGAGATATGTTATTATCATTTAATCGTAATTAAAAAATTATCAATTTTCAGTGTGTTTTGGACTAGCGGTTTTATCCGTTTGCGATGCAGTACCGTTGGACGATATTGCATTTCCCGAATCACTGACTTCACGGTATCAATCTTCATCATGGGTCAATTATGATACAGCACCTAAAAGGACTACAAGACAAGGAAGTCGTCGTCCCAGACCTCCGATATCTAACGTAGAAGATCCATTTGGAGGGCTCGATCCACAAACAAGCAATCAAGGCCAATGGTCTAACCAAAGACCTAACCAAAGACCTAACCAACAACAAGGCTTTAATAATAGACCATCTGGTCAAAACCAATGGGGTAACCCTGGACAAAATCAATGGGGCACAAATGGTTTTAACCCCGGTCAAAACCAATGGGGTACCAATGGTAATAATCCTGGTCAAAGCCAATGGGGCACAAACGGTAATAACCCTGGTCAAAATGGTCAAAACCAATGGGGTTCTAACAGTAACAATCCCAATCAAAACCAATGGGGTTCTAACGGTAACAATCCCAATCAAAACCAATGGGGTACCAATGGTAATAGTCCTAATCAAAATCCAGTTCAAACTACCACGACTGCAACGAACAGTGAACAGAATATCGAAGCTCAACGTAACACATGTAACACGAGATGTAGAGAAATGATTACAAACGAATACAATCCTGTCTGTGGAAGTGATTCTCAAACATACCAAAATAGAAGATTTTTGGATTGTGTGGCCAACTGTGGTATACGTAAGTATTGTTCTTTTGTTTGTAACTCGGTCAATGAACTAGCTTAGGTAACTAAATGTGTTATATAATCATAATCGCTTGAGATAAAAAGGATATTGTATTCATTTATTTATTTTACTGAAATGTGATATTTTTTTGTAAGCATTTATAATATACTATACAACACTCATTGTGTATTAATATTATATTATACTTTTGGTATAATTTGATTTTTCTTGAGATTCAATAAGTATCAATAATATTTAAATTATTCTCGATTTCCTCAAACTTAAAGTTCCTATTGTTTTCGATTATTCATCCATAATACATTCCATTTGCAACTTACTCTGGATCATATTATTTTTTCAAAAAAATGTTCCTAACTATGTCGCATTACAACAATATTTTATTTCTTATAAAGTATATATAAAAATAATTAAATGAAAATATGTTTTTGTTTATGTGATTACCAACTATACATTTGTACACGATTTCTAGAAATATTTGTTTAACGTAAAATAATTTACAAAATATCATGTCTGATAATATGTGCAGTTAATGTCATTAAGCCATAAATAATATTGTGTTTGTTTTTTTTACAGCCACCGAATTCAGTTACATCGGTACTTGTGTGACGACGACCGAACGCACCAATCGCGCAACATAAAATTCAAAATTTCACTACTGTTTCAGCTATAAATAGATAAATGGTTGATTATTTTATAAATATATAATTAATTTTTAGATACATTTTGTACAATAGACGTGATATACAATGTAATGTGTTATATATTTTTTGATAATATTGTAACGACTGTTTACACACAATATAATATTTTCTAAATTACCAAATGTTTTTAAATAGACCTAGTTTTGAGGAGAAAAAATTAAACGTAAATAATATAATTGTGTTAAACGAATAATATTGGACGGATCACGATGATGAGCGTCTGGAAACTCGTATTATAATATGGTGCAGTGGCGGTGTGAAGAGCAGTTTAATAGCGGTCGTGCAACGTAAATTCGACAACAATGGTCGAGTAATAGGTTAAATTATATTCCCAATTCAATACATGGTTGGCCGACGGCGACAACAATGATGCCAGTATAATTCGTTTAACTCGGTTTCCTCCGTACCAATCTTTGAACTTCAGATTTTTTTTCTTATCAAGGTCCCCTTAGGTTCCACCTTCTTGCTCTGAAAGTTCAACGGTTACTACGACGATCGCCCGCTACACGCCTATTCTTTGATGTAGTATCGATAAGAATTTGAAGTCGACCATTTGGAATAAAAGCATATTCAGAGGAAATAATTAGATAATATTTAAATGAAAAGTGAAAACGTATTTGAAACCGTACTGGAACACCGTATGACCTGAACAAAATTTAAACTGTTTTTATAAGTGTTCAGAAATGTGTTTTTATAATAACTGTTTTAATATGATGTACCTAAATATATTTAATGTTTAGCCGCAATATTGAACCTATCGACTATAAACTATAATATGACGTGCGATGATTAAAAAAAAATATGAAGTGTAGTACAATAATGAAAATATGACTGCTTACTGTTTAGCTATACGGTTTATATAATATCCAATAATAATTACTTTACTCTATTATGTTTGCAATATTCTTACTTCCTTAGTTTCTAGTCCCTTAATATTACTTTAGATGTACGGTAAAAAGAAAAAAAAATTGCTTTCAGTTAAACAAACATTTCTTGTTCCCTATTCTCGCGCCACTGCGTTTTATTTGAGACGAATATAATATTAATATTGTCAAACAAGGGCCCCTCGATGACGAACATCGCGGTACGTCGTGATGAACAAGTACGAAACACGTCTCGGACGAGAAATTTATTGGCATAACCTTGCGATGGGTCAAAGTCATTTTGAACGAAGCGCACCACAATATTCACATCGTGATGAATATAAATCATTTACAAAACGCATTTACCTACTAGACAGACGAATGAAAGAAAACAAACATAATAACACAAAGCACATCCTTTGTATATAAACATAATAATGTTCATACATTGCAGTTTTGTTACATAATTGGTGGACAAGCAGCCACGACGGCAGTAGGAGGGACGACCAATTATATTATAGCAGCAAGTATGATATAGGTATGACCTTTCTCACGTCAGTCGCTCAAAAGGAAAAAAATAAAATAATACTCTTATGGGTAGGAGAACCGTCTATATAAGAGAGCTGCACTGCGTCGTCCTGCGAACAAAACGTTTAGTTCCGAGTTCACGAAACACGCAAAAATTATTGTTATTATTATCACCATAAAGAAGTTTACAAAACACAGAACGAATACATCATGAAATCTTTGACGTTAATCCTGTTAGTAGGTAAGTCGATATTTTTAGTATTATTAATTATTATCATCAATAACAGTTATAGTTTTAACTGAGCGAAGAATAAACGCATAATATTGCATGTACGTAGGTGTAAGACGTTTTCGTGTTTCGATTTAAATAATTACTATAAGTTAAAATAAAATATGATATGATAAATACACAGGCTCAACTTTCAAGGGAGCTATAAACTCGTGGAAAACAAAAAAATTTATACCCGACGCAATGTGTGTGTGAATAATGTTAAAAGTTTTCGGCATGTTCAAGGAGCTTCATCGTGTTAGATTACATTTTTTTGACAGCATGATGTTGTGTATTTTAATTTCAACACACTGATAGCTGCGTTAAATTCTGAAACATAGAAAACAATAGTCGAATTAATCGAGATCATTAACTTTCGGAATAAAAGTATTAAAGCGTTTTGATTTATGAAAGTGTTTCGTCCATTATTAATCTAGTGTAAATTAGATATATCTATTATATATGTTTTGGTCCATTCCGCGAGATGTACTAAATTAATATTTTGTCAACTTAGCACTGATATATTAATTCTGATATGGTACATCCATTTTTTGACTTTGAACCATATTCTATTTTAAAAAATTTCAGTGGTTATTTTAAAATTATTTATTTATTTTTTTTTTTTTTTTGAGATAATAAGTATCTGTATTTAAAATTACTTACGTACCTACGTCATCACGTAATTTAAAATTTAATTTACTTTTGGTTTTAAACCCAAGAACGGTCGAATTCTATGTAATTATGGTATTCAACTAATGATGATAATTCAATTCCACAATTAAACAAAAGAAATAAAATTAATTTACTAAAACAATTTACATTTTTATAATACTAAATCATTGTATATAATTATAACTAATATTATGTTAAGCATTATTTATCACGTAAAAATAGAATTTTTACTAATCAATATAAATTCATTGTTAGATACTCGTGTATAATAACTCATTACCTAGCATATAATATAAATTTATATGTTAAATTTATTGTTTTTAACTATAACTTTTACTATTTTTTTTTATTTTGACCTAAAATATTTTTTTGTACGATAAACCATTGGTTGTGTATACTTATTGTTATAACTTCAGCTTAACAGAAGAGGTGTAGAGTAATCAATATACATTTAAACACTATCTTTTTATCTTTGTACATTTATTTTTAACCATTCGCGATCGACTACAATCCCGTTTTATTATTTTAACTATTATTAGACCATGATAATAATTAAATAAAATAAAAAATTGTTGACCTAGTTAATTTAATTTTTAAATTGAAGATGAAGGACACTTTCTTATTTTTAAGGAAGCATGAATCAAAACAATTTAAGGATCCTGTAGTGACAACATTCTTTTTCTGATATTGGCTTACTTTATCATTATTATACTCCATATACCATACCTACTGTTAAAAGGAATTATTAACTATCGGCTTTGTTGTATAAAAAAGTTATTTTTCCCATTATAATTCAGTATTCATTGTTGGGTGTGTTCAAAATGAATTTGACATCGATTTTTATTTTTGATTAATAGCAATAATTATCGTCCAGTACATCACTATCGCGTTTTCGCGTTTTATTGTTTTACATTCACATGCTTAAATAGCATCGATTTAATAAAAAATAAAAGGAACAACTCAAATTAAGTTTCGTTTCATGAGAAAATATTCTGAAATTAAACAATTTTTTTTCCACGTGAACCAAATTTTTGAAATTGTAATAATTTACTTCTCTGTGAAAGATAAGGAGTTCACATTTTGATATTAACTATTAACTTAAAAATGACAAAAATTTAGTAATAACCTTTCTCACTGGATGTTTTGTAATATCTATATAATATTAAAATCATATGCGAAAGTAAAGCAATAATGGTAAAAACACAAAATTTTTTAACGACTAGTATCGCTATACATGACATCTATTGTACAACTTTTAACATTTGTCCTAAGCAAACTATGACATGACTATACAGTACACGAGTCGATAACGAACAAATGCAATAAACTCAGATATATCATGATATATACTTTTTATGATTTATCCAATAAAAAATTCTTTGTATTTATAGCAAAATAATATTATTATCTTATTATTATTTTTTTATTCATTATATCATGTCTTTTCATAACTTGTGTCTATCTAAATAGAACATTTAGTTTTGAAATCCAGTTTTAGTTAAAGCATAGTTCATAATATATTAATCTTACTCTAAATACAATCTCTTTCTGTTGATAATAAAACAATATCATGTAATTCATGTCCATTCATTGTTTCAAATTTATCATCTATTATAATTTACTGATTTTTGGAAAATATTTTTCAGCTGTTCTCTCTCTGAACTGAAATACAACTATAATTATCTTGTACCTATGGTTAAAAACACAATAATTCCCTTAAGTCAAAAAGTTCCGTATAAAAATATGTTGTTTTTTATTTTTATGAGACACGTCGACATCTTAGACAATTTCAAAATCTTAGAGAAAACATAGTTATTTAAAGTCAATAACATTTTAGATGACCTACCTACCGTCTTACGTTTTTTTTTTTTTTTTTTTTTTTTTTATGACAAGAAAATCTTGTTATATTTTTTTCCCTAACAATCTCTGTGTAAAGTTCATAAATATATATATGGCACTAGTTCCAATATTGACAGTTAGTTTTTTGATATAGCTATACTAACGCTTATACCTACTTTCAAAAGTCTCAAGAAACGTTTGAACGCACTCCGTCCCAGGGTAAAAATAAGACGCACACGCACGGGAATTAATTTTAATGATATTTAAAAAAAATAACAACGGTTATCTGCGTAACTTATAATGTCGTAATGTCGTAGGTCTGGCCGTCGCGTTGGTGTCGGTGAATGGAAGTCCGGCCGGCGACAAGAAGATAGGCACCAGCCATAAGTTGAAGACGACCAGCACAACGACAACGATTTCGCCAGCCCGCAAATGCAAACCGTGCCCGGACAATTACAACCCAGTTTGCGGATCTGATGGGGCCAAAGTGAACTTGAGCTTCGGCAACAAGTGCGTGATGGAGAAATACAACTGCGAGCACAATGCAAGTGAGTAGAGTACAATCAGTCGACGATATTAATGGTCTATATATATTATGTACTACAACAGCCCCATTTGGGTTTAATGGTCGGAAATCGCGTAGTGCACGAACACATCATGCAAACAGTTATACGGCGCGGCCTAAACACTCTATAAACACCTCGTTAACGCGCGGAGAGCGAACAAAAACCCGGTTTTCAGTTATAGGCTCTTATTATAATCGGTGTAACAGTCATTTAACGCTGAAAAACCCATTTGTTACCCATCATTTATTTATTACTTTTTCGTTATTAGTATTATTTCTCTTCCCGTCATAGAAATTGTTTAACGATCGATTTCAATTCGTCGTCGCGACACCCTTCGACGGTAACCGCCGCGCGGCGTCGGAAAAGCCGAAACACTCGAATTCCAAACGTATTTTGTAATTGGTACGTTGGACGGTAAAACTAATTGCACGGGACGTCACTCATGTGAGTATAATATCATTATGATAGAGGCAAAAAAACTATGTTGCGTGTTCGTCATTCGTCACGCGTTTTAATATAGAAAAAAAAAAAAGAAGAATGAATTGCGCGTATCCGTTTATTGCATTTATTATTATTGTACGCAATAGTACAATGTTATATCATGCGATTGACTTGTGAATAAAAATCTAAAACCAAAGAAACGGGCTGCTCATACTATACCTGCTACAATGCGTGGTTACCGCATTGACCAAACATCGAATATGTCTTAGAATGACTTTCGATTTTATTTGTCGTTTCATTTTTGAATTTTTCAATTCAATTTGAACGGCGTTATCGACTGTAAATAATTTTCTAGAAGTTCACGGCGTGCGTTAAGTCATACACGTTTAAAGATATATTAAAAAAATATATTCGCATTGTAGTTAAGATTACATCAATAAAAAATACGCACTTAATACTTATTATACTCGTATAGTATAATACCTGGTACGTTATCGAATCTTGCGTGCAACGTTAAGATCGACTACCTATATAATTTTCGAACCTCGGCCGTTTTCCGTCCGTTGTCCACATACCGTGTGTAGCAACTCGAAAACATTTTACGTACGTGGTTAATAATATTGTCTTGTACCACAAAAACGCGTGTGTGTGTTATTCGACGGAGAAAATATTGTACTAATAATCGTAATCTGGAACGGAGCACGAATCGTAATCGCACCGATTATTTAAAGTATTACGTTCGTTTAATATCTGTATATACTAATTATACTACCTAATATAGTGAAACCAATTAAAACGAACGTATGTGGCGGAAAGACAAATCGTCTCGGTTAATCCGCCTCGATGAACCATTCCGGTGAAGATGGTATACGTTTTTATGCGTTCTCAAACATATGCGAAAAATATACGACGCGTCGATGTGATATTATATCGTTATATTAATATATTATGATAGATATCGTGTACATTACACTTACTGCAGTAAAATTTATCTAATTACCTTTATTGTATGCTTGCAAACTAATGCCATGGATATAACAATATTATGTATTGAGATATTGATGAACGGGGAAAAAAATGTTACTCACTTTTTATATTTTATCCGATAAGAATCGCACGAGCTCGTAAAAACGTACATCCGTGCACATAAATTATACGATTAAACAAGTATACTCAAGGGCGTCATCATACTATATAATAAACCTCTACTTGGTTGAAATGTTTAGTCAGTCCCTCTAGACACGCATTCGCTTCAGTCGCGCATTTCAACTGTACACGACTATATGGGCCTATATAATACATTTTACCTCTGATACTTCATTTGTTTGCATCCGGCTTATCGAAACAGATCCCTTATAAGTTAAAAGTTTAAACTGCGCTATAGCGTAAAAGTGAGATTTTGATTTTTATAGCAACTGATATTGTACCGTGCAATAAACAGTTAAATACATGACATTCGTCGACCCGAAGTGCGGGTTGTTCATAGACAGTGCCTAAAATACTCTCTTCTGATATTTTAAAGAGTGCAATAGACGTATTTCTTGGACGTAATATCACAGCATGTATTTATATAAAATTCGAACTAAATTATATATATTAACTAACCTAACCTCTACTAAAATAATATGTTGTAATTGTATTTTTTCTTACAAAAAACCAACTTCGTCTTGAACAAGTTATGATAAAAAATTTCAAAGGAAAACATATAAATAAACTTTACTATAATAATTCATTTACGTGGACTATAGTGATTTACTAAAAAAAATATACTAATAAAAATTTAGTGTTTTAATGATTTTTTAAATATTTAGTCACTAAGACACTAAACCATTTTTTGTAAGTATAATTACAATTTTTGCAGTTTATCTACAAAAAAAAAAGAGTGAATAATTGAGTGCATTTATATAGTGCTCACCAAATTCCTCTGCACACCATTTTACACATTCATCATTTAGACAGTATAAACTATAATACACATTTTAAATTTCATAAATTTTAATTATTTATTATTTATTATTTCGAAATATTTAATTTGTATTTGTAAACAAGTAATTATACAAATAAACACACATTTTTTTTCGTAAGAAATTGATAACTCCGAAAACTTTGGTCGTTGGTGTGCAGCGTCAACTGATAAATGATTATTAATTTAAGTTTTACACAGGCAATAATTCAGTTGTTTACAGAGATATGCTCACTGGAAACTGTTCGGAGTTATTGAAAGTCTTCTTAGAAATTACTGATTAATTCAGGTGCAAATTCTGCATAGTCTGCAATAATTTTAAACAACAAAATGTAACTAAATATATTGTACACGGCGTATACGAATATAATATATGGTATCTAGTTGATGGTTTACGTCAGAAAATTATTTTTAGTTCATCAGCTATTGTTAATACAAATACGTGGCTAAGAAATATAATAAACTTTCTGATTCTTAAAAATCGTTTCGTAACAACAATAATAAAATAATAATGACAACCTTAAAATAGTAAAAACATATTTTTATTTTATTATCTGACCTTCAGTTTGACAAAGCTCTTTTCAAATAATCTATTTATACGTTTAAATTTACATATAATATTATTAGACCACGAGTCACTGAACCGTAAAAATTAACGTTCAACACATATCTCATCTTTATCAAGGATAAAATTTAGTATGTTTTTAACTTAGTAAAAACTTATGACTCTATAAGACAAATTATTATCAGTTAATTCACAATTGGAATACAAACAAAACTTTATTTAATACGTGTGTTATGTTTTTATGATTAATTTCTTAAACAATTTAATTATGGACTTGATTATAACAATACATCAGCTAAAATTTGACTATCTCTTTACATTTTTTTTTTTTTTTTTTTTTTATATACAAAAATTTCGATATCCACAGCTAGTGTTTAACTGCAACTGTAAAACTTTTTGTTCAATTATTTTGCATTTATATTTATTACCAATAAATAATAAATGTGTATGACATAATTACGTATAAAATAAATATATTAACTTTACATTTGTACAAATATTTTTGTTTTATTTTTTATTGCGAAAACGCTTCAAGAAAAACCCTAAAATATTAGATAATGTGAAAAAGTGAACTAGTTAGCTAAAACCTAAAAATATGCAAAATCATGCTAATTCAAATTTTAGATTTAAATTCCCCATATTTAAAATAATATTTTTATTTAAATATCTAAAATCAACATGCAAATGCTAGTAGTCCCTAAGCTTAAGTAATGGTGCTTAAACATAAAATATTTAATTTGTGTTTTATGATATTCGATCAAATGAGTTTTTTGGTGAATGTTGTAGGCATATTCCAGGTAAAATGTGTGAACTTCACTAATTAAACGAACAAACAAATTTTTCAAATGAGTAAACATGAAATTTCTACTGTCAGTGTGTTTAAATAAAATATAAAAGTAATATATTACAATATATTATTTTTATTTACCAATAAAACATTAAAACGCGGCACCCTGCATATTGGTATTATTTATTATGCGAAATCGAATTTTTGAATAAAGAATACTAAAAACCATTTTGAGTAGGTAACGTTCGTAAAATTAATTGGCTGAGAAAAAGCTATATTATAATTAGTGAAAACACTTCTACATAATGCCTGTTCAATTTCTTTTGTCACTCGGTCAAAAATATACAAAACGAAAAAGTTTTTAAAAGTTTGAGCCCGTATTAAACGGGGGATCTAAAACTAGTGACAGGATATGCTATATTTAGTATTTTCTTATAACTTTTATGATTAAACTTCTTGGTTCATCAGAACTTTTGATAAATTATATCTATTACAAATCAATGTGTTTTTATTCGAAATAGCCCATGAAAAAAAAAATTATTGTTTCCAAGCCATTCAAGGTGTTTCATTTGAGCCAATTATACATTATATTATGACATACGTAATTATATAGACGTAGGTAGTTGATATATTATCACAGTAAACAAAAGAAAAAATAACAGTTGTCTTTACTTTACAATATTGACAAAATAATAATACTTAAAGTTTAAATGACGATAATATTTTATTGCGAAATCAATAACGTCATTTTAAACTTTCAAGTAAAAACCATATGATATAAACCTCTTAATTCATGTCACCAAACATATTATTTTAAAGTCATATCAATTAAATTAAAGTACACGTTTTTGAAATGACGTCCTACCTCAAACATTTTCACACCTAATGTATTATATTTTGTTTTATTTCATACACGTTTGCACTCAAGACCATTATCCCATTGCAGCGTAAAAGATTAAGCTAGAATTTTTTAAATCTTATTAAAATATTTAATAGTAAATTTTATTAGAGTTAGTTAAATAAAATATTATCTAATCACGTGTGTATAATAAACCGTATAATATAAGTAAAATTTGTTCTGATAATCAGGAAATAATACAAACTAAAAGTAAATGATTACAGTCGATTATAAATTATAAAAAAATTAGTAAGTACTTAATAACTGATAAAATTAATAATTATTATTAAAAATACTTTTCTGATTTATTCAAAATTATTTCAAGCCCACAGGAAACACAAATGTGTATAAAACAATAAGTATCTATTGTAACAAATTTATGACGTAAAAAAAAAAAATAAATAATAAAAATATTTACTACAACTTGAATACAAATGGTTCAAGTTTTTTTTGGATTAATAAATTGTTTTATACAATAATTATTTTTTTTTAATTTTAATTTTTCTACCTTTATTATAAAGTTTGAATTTTAAATAATGCCATTGGCGTAAACAAATAAAAAAAATAATATTGATTATAATTGATATAATATTACGAAAGTTACACGAATTTAATCCGCATAAAAGCCACTATAACACCATAAGATATTTTTTTTTTTTTTTACTAAAACAAGATAAAAGTAATTTGATCTACCCCACAAAATCTTTACAAATAATATGCATTTTTCCCAAATTAAAAATTATGACTCGTTATCGCCAATACTTTGGATTACATAACGAAAATTTTGGAATATTAATAAGAATGATATCGATTATAACTAATATTCATACATATTATAATAAAATGAACACAAAATATTTTATATAACAGTTTTTTAACTACTTTAAAAAAAAAAGTATACTTCGTTTTCTTTATAAAAATATAATTTTTTTTCTTTATGAATACTATTAAGCATTCGATTGTAACAAAATATATTTTTATATCGTTTACTTTATTTTTTTTCTAATATTATTATTTTTATGGTTTATATATATACTATGAAATTAAATTGAAAAACAAGAATGCAGTCTAAAATATGTTTTTACAAATATTCACTCATCATTCTAAACCAATTACTTTTTCTCTCTACGTAAAATTCTGAAAATTTAAAAAACTAAAACTACAGGAAAAACAAACAAATATTTTAATACTATTTATACAAACTAAATGAGTACATTATGTATAGATCGATTTTTGAACAAAACCAATATAGATGAGGGGAGTGCTCATTGTTTTAAAACACTAGAATACAATGTTGATATTATGTTCTCGAATAATAAAATTAAATTTTTATATGGTATGCACCACTAAATGATTAATAATTGTTCATAAAGTGCATATTAACACAAAAAAAAACATTTTATAAAAATGTGAATAATTGATAGGTATAAAATCAAAAAACAATAGGTATTAGATTAAAAAGTATTTTTAACAGCTAAAAATAGGAATATTTCGACTTCGTGTCATACTTATAAATATTTTTGTTAAGATTAAACGAACAGTCAATATATTATGTTATTATTAAATAAACAACTATAAAAACTAAAAGTATAAACAATATTAAATACTCATAAATATTTTGTGTACCTACCTAAATTTAAATCACATTTAAACACAATAATAAATCGAATTCGAGCACTAAGTTTCTATCCTCGACTAAACACTCAGTAAACTAATAATTTCGATCTATTTCAAATTCAGGATAAATGTTACATTACATTATAATAGTTAGCTACAATTTCATCAAAATATTATAATTTATAAAGTGGAAACTGCAGTGCGGCATGCATTTGTTTCAATAGCGTGACAGATTAACTGAAATTCATTTTGTTCTATAAAATACAAAGCATGATTTTGTTGGAAATTCTACTGGTTATGTTGCGAATTTCTCGAAAACTATACTGAGAAATTTCACAAATGACTTATATGTAGCACATGTGTCAAATTTCTAATGGAGTGGTTATGTGAAACTTTTAAATCATTAATTTTATTCAAAAACAAATTCATAAACAAAACAAACAAAATACATATCGCTACAATAGCTTTATTAGACCAATACAACATATATCATATTATATTGTAATTTTAATTTAAAAACACAAGTGTGTCTTGTTTATCAACATTTACCATTTAAAACTTAAAGTCACGTGTTTTGCTTATTCAACGTCAATAATAAATATATATTAGACTTATTCAATCATGACAGAAATTCAATAAAATATTTTAATTATTTAACCGTAAAATTTAGTTAAAGTACGACACTACGACGTATAAACGCATATTATAATTATATGTAAATGTTTTTATATGAAATTATTCTGTGCAGATCGATCGATCATTAAAATGAATCAACTGTATGCTTTTAGTAAAAAATAAAAATATAAAACTCTTATATTTACAACATTTTTTGATTCCCGTGATTTCAAATAAAATCGTAACAATAAACCTTCACGGATTCGGTGTGTGTGGGTGTATTCATTCGAAAATTCGTTTGAATTAATGAACTAATAATATACTAAGCTAATATTTTTTAATACGAATCGATAAGCAACCTAAAAAATTAATCAGGAAGAAAAAAAACACGATATTAAAATACAACAAAATGTTTTGAGTTAAAATATTTAGTGTAATGTGCAAAATAGTTTAACTGTATATTATGTTATCCATTCAATATAAAACCAAAAATTGAGAGATTGAAATCCAAAGCTTACAAAATCGAGTTAAACCCGTCATCATTCGTAAAGGGAAAAAAAACGTTGAGAAATTGACCTCAGAATAGGTCAAAGCGTATTACTTTTTATTCAAATCAAATTTTAGTCAAAGGTTTAAAAATGACTGGATTATTCAAAAAAACTATCTCCATTCATAAAAATGATATTTAAGTAATTCAAAACGTACTTACTTCAGTTGTATGCCAAAATGTACTATTATCTATGTTAAATGAATGGACATCAGTCATCAACATTACCAAAACGAATTATTTTCATTAATTACTCTAATCATATACACCATAACCTGTGTTTTAGGTAGGCATAGAAAAAATAAAATAGTTTATCTAAAACGTACCAAAATTTTAATCAAGTTATTATTACAATTATGAATTTTGAAATTAAATAAATCTTTTTTAAAAATGTGACTCTAGTTTTTTGAATAAGTTTGAATTTTTTAAAATGAAAATGACAAAATATTATTACTTAATAGTTTATTAAAAAAAGTCACCTCCAATAATTATTTGTCGATTTCAAAAGTGATTTGCTTATGTTGACGATGTTTTTTCCATTTTTATCTTTTTTTTTTAATTTCTTTTGAGTTTATAAATTTAAACTTTTTATATATTTTCTCAGTATCGATCATTTTCAATAAAACATGAATACAAAGAAAATATCCAATAAGCTGTTGTAAACACAAAAATCTAAATTATTATAAATCTTAAAATACCAATAATGTAGAATTTAAACATAGAAAATAATTAATATTTATTTATTTATTTTTTAATCACTATAACTCATAAATTCATTACATTTGTGGGACTTCAGTTAACTTAAATTGGTTTCAGAAAAAATGTAGAAAATTGCTTTTCTGAAAAATCAGTATTTTTGTAATAGTAAGTTTTGGATTCCACCACTCAATTATAAAATACACCACGCGCGTATAAACGTTTAGGTGCACTTTAGGATTTTAGTATATAAATACTTATAAACTGCACATTTAGTATACATCAAGCGTACCTACCTACTATACGTATAATATATAGCGGCAATCGATATATCCTTCGTAACATCCGTAACTGCAACGGTCGAAGACAATAATATAATGTATAATGTATATGATGTGCGTAATTTAACCGGAACTTACTTTATTACAATATAATATCAAATACGAACACGTAAAGCTGTGGATTATTCGTGCGCTGATGTATTAATATTTGTGTTACAGAACTCACGGTGAAATTGGAGTCCGAATGCCCGAACAGCAAAGGCATCCGTCTTGCTTAACTGAACACACACGTCCTAATCAACAGCACTATTAAATATATAAAATAAATAAAAAAAAAAAATGTTTATATATTTATCGGCAAACAGCACAAGAAGACATCGGTGAAGATAATATACAGATCGAAAGAAAATTCGTCAATATATTTTTTACTTTTTTCACGACCACCGTCCACACACGTACACCACAAGCGGATATTAGGTTTAAACCACTACGCACGCACACGTAAACACAACACAATAATATGTCTACGTTATTTTAATATTATATTATTCGGCTACTTTAAAATCGCTTACCTATTGTATTATCATTATTATTTCGTCAGCCTCGTAGTATTTATATAATAATATAATACCTCGTGTACACGTGAATCTTACGTAAATAATAATATATAAAAATATATTATTGATTGTAACGACGCATTTTATCACAAAATGTCATGTACATGTTCGATTATTATATTAATACGTGTAATTATTACCATTCAGCGAATATTGTAGCCATCAAAATTGTTATTCATTTATAATAAATTGCTTTTAGATACAATTTCATCGAAAACATTTATGCCTGAATAAACGAGTATAGTATTATACAATGTCAATAGTGTACTCGAGGTTGGCTTAATTTGTGCCCAGCGTATTATAAATCGAGTTGCGTCCGTATAGCATTTAATGTCATGTATGTGAAAAAAAATATTAAGGTCTACACATGATAATACATAACTGTCTTAAACACTCTCGTGTCGAGTCCTCGGCATTTACATTTACCATAGTTTACCAATAACATTATTGCGGTACCGTATAGTACATTAAGTATAATGTAAGATCTGTTAATGTTGTGAAAAACAATCAAATAGAACCTTTAAATCACAGGACTCTGTCTTTTGTGCCGTGAAGAAAATCGTCACTAAAAATCTTATAATTTATCGTGATAAAATGTATACCATTTGTATAGGTACTATCAATATACGTATTATAGTAGTAACTCCATTCTCGATTTTTACAAGGCCTTAAAACATTCAATGGTTTTCATAATATAGGTAACACAACTTTTGAATTAATATAACTTTCTCGTTCCGCCACGGTACTCTTTGACATGATTTAACACACGGTTACACGTTAGTGTACAAATGTAGGCCTTTATGTACGTTCGACTTCACTTGCAAAAGTCGATATTAGTTTTTATCTAACAAAAAAACTACTCTCAAGTCTACAACATAAAGTGAATACCAAAGAATACACCAGCCATAATTTCTCTACGCTCAAATAGATTTTATTTGAATCTTGAGTTCAGTCTCCGCGAGTTGTAAGCGTCCCACGATCATTTTTTTCAGTAAAACCATCAATGACAAATTCTCGGCATAATACGCACAACACTTAATTTTGTGCATTCCGGTTTATAAAATAATATTTGGCCACTTATTCGTAAATTATTGCTACAACACGGCGTTGATAGCAATGCGTATTGTATGCCATGTATTTCTATCGTTTTAAAACATCTCCGGTATTGTTTAAAGTGTATAAACCAAAATACTGTCAATATCTATACTTAAATTCCTATCCAGTTAAAAAGTTTTTGGTTATCTATTCTCACTATACAACCCGGTCTCGAGAACCGATGTGTTGGACCACTATAAATAAAAATTTTCCGAGTTGTATCTTACTGCAGGTCATAAAAAATTATTGCCTCCGTTCATAAACTAACATAATCGAACACGATATAGCAATGTACACAAATAAAGCTTATTTATTTCAATGTTAGAAATTTTAATAATACAATTTAATAGCGTATAGACTATCCGCCTGAGTAACTCTATACTTGTGAATACTATATTAAAGAATAGCGAAGTACCTACGAATCAAATAACTTGGTTATTATGATTTTTTTATAAGGTAGGTCATTTAACATTTAATAACACAAATTAAGATTGGCATTTTTAATATAAAAATATTCAAAATACATTATTATAATGTATATAAGAATAATTAACACGAAAAAAATGTAAAAACTTACTTAAATAAGCCATTCAGTTTCTAAAATATTTCTAAATTTTCATTCGTATCCAATATCTCAAGAAAAGAAAAAGATAAGAAAGTAAGTACCGCTTATATTCACACCTCATATTCAGGTGTTGAACAAAACTCCATATCGAGTAAATTGCTTCAGTAAATTTTCTTAGATTTGAATTCAATTATAACCCGTTGAATACGATGAAAAACAATTCTGAGCGAAGACTTTATTTTAATAATCACAGCTACAAAACAATTATTTTTATAGCAATATTGGTTTTGCGTTAAACTCCTGTTTTTCCGTATTTTGTTTGTTTTTCCGATATTACCAATTAAAAAGAGTATTGGAAATTTTCACTTTTGATTTCTCCAATACACAAACTAGATCCAATTTTCTATACAAAACCACCCTCGACATTTAAATTGAAGCGTGTAATTTATCTAGTACCTACTTATTGTGTACACAAACATAAAAAAACCACACATCGTTTAAAATCAACGCATTCGTCGATCCGTTCGGAATCTAAAATCAAAAATAAATAAATAAACCCAAAACACGCCGATGAAAAATTATCTAGATACAAATAACAACGGACGTATCTAACCTACGCATATTAAACGCCGACCATCCCTGCGGGCTGTTAAACAGAATTAAGCTGTCATCGGAAAACGGGAAAACTCTTCCATCCTGTATAGATAATAAATATTCGCGTTTCGTTAGCCAATTTCGGTTAAGACGTCAAACGGCTGGCGCACTCGGCTCGTACGTGATAATTATAAGTCATAGGCGATTATTTATATCATCGTTGTCATCGTCGTCGCGATAATTGTGTGGACGCTTAACGTTAAGGCACAATATCACTGCAATTCGCTGTCGTCTATTTGTCACGGTTGAATGAGTATACGCTGTTAAAATATATACTTATCATTACACTGTTTACTTGCCACTTGTTTATTGTGTGACATCGGGTCGTACAGCCATTTTCAAGTGACGAATATTGTAGTCGGCGACGGTTTTTGGTGGATGACAAAATTTCTAAAAAATATTCGTTTTCGAGGACGCATTTTTTAATTGTATCTACATTACGATAATATTTCAAAATAAAATAAAACTATTAAGCATAGTCTTTCTAATCATTAATTCTATTTTTTATTTTTTTTAACGATTTTTATTTGATGTAGTATACACACACACACACACACACACACACATATATATATATATATATATATTAAGTAGATTTTCAAGTTTAAAGCTACAATCGTCCAAACTAGGACATTGTCGTGTCTCAATAAACATCTACACAATATACTAATGGTAGTAATATTTACTTCTCACACAAACCCACTGCAGAATGCGTATAAGCATCGTATTGCCTATACAAAACCCCTTAATAAATCACTAACTCCAATCCCCTTAAAATAACATTTTCGGCACGCCCCTGTACGGTTTACATATAAAACCAGGAATGAGATAAATTTATTTTTTCCTTCCTCCATTAATTGTGTTAAAACAGAGAAAACGTATATTATTGTACTTGGTATCGATACGTAAAAATAAATATTCGTATTACGGTTATAAAGATAAACACATGGTGATAAATTATTGTATAATAATAAATTAGTCACATTATTAAACGACGGTTAAAAGTTATATGTATAATACATTACACAAATATTTACTGACAAAATATTATATTTTATTATAATATAGTAATTTATGCGCGTACAATTTGGTTAATAAGAGAAATGGGAAAGTTACTCACATTATCAATGGATGATGAAGAATCATAGGATATAATAATATTTCTCAGTTCAACTATACTCGTGCAACAATTTATATGTTATGTTACAATGTGTAATAAAATATATATATTTATATATATATATCAATGAACGTTTTGAAAATAGTGTTAGATCAATTTAGTAGAAATATTCTTCTGGTGAACCTAATTTTCAATAATTATGATGTCATAATATTATTATTATAACTAGAGCATAGCAATTTATAAAAATACCATAGAATTATCTTTATTGCCTTTTTCTAATCCGGAAATTTTAAAATTTTTACACTTCTATAGTTTTGTTATTTTTTTTTTTTTTTTTTTTGTCTTTTTTTAAAGTTTATTGGTATATATTTCTATGCACGAGATAAGAGCCTGTCCAAAGAATTAATACAAAAATAACCATAAATTCTGTGTCGCCTGTTACAAATAGATAAATATACACCTTCATCATAATTATAAGAATATTTCCAAAAATCCCGTATACGTATACCAATACCTATTTGTTTTTATTATAATACGCTATGAGGTCAAAAATCAGTCCGTATTGAGTATTATATGCCTGCGTAAGACGTTCCGCGTTAGCATAACTTGGGCAATTTTTATGAATAGAGAGCTTTATTTTATAAAGGCTTAGCCATAGATTAGATCTACTTAATGTATGGACCATACAATGGTGTAACATATAATACCTGAGTCCTGAGCTAAATAGGGTTAGTTGCCACATGAAGCATTTTAGGTAAACGGTAAACGTTTACATGTTATTGTGTAAACATCTACACAAAAATAATAGACACCCGTATCTGCGTAAGTTCTTACACGAACAATTAATAAAAATCAATATGCATTATAGTCTTTACGCGAATCTAAAATTAAATGTATTAATTTTTGTACAGTAAAATTTAACTCTGTAAAATAATACCTCAACTATCTAGACTTGTTTTATCATTTCATATAAATGCATACAGGTAATCTGTGTATTTTTCTTCAGTTTAAAAATATACTCGATTCAATTAAAAATCGGATTAAAGACTTTTTTATGCAACACAAAAATTTAAACAACACCAACTACGTTTAAGTTATCAGTCCTTTAAGTCTGATTAAAGTGGATAGGAAATTTGTATTTGCTATAGCTCTTATTCTCGAAAGGACTTACTTACGCACGGGTGTATTTTTTTTCGTTCAGGAAATTACGTATGCAAACCCGTTCAGAGTTATTTTTACCAATTATGTCTTATGTGAAAACATAAATTCGCCCAATGTTTATAATATCTAAAACGCAATTTGATGGTGTGGAGCTATAGGTCACTCTTGTAAACATATTTTACTCACTACCTTATATATAATATAATATAAGTACGGTGTGTAGAATTTATATTTACTGAGCCCATCACAAACTAAATAAATCAATAAATAATTAAACATGATTAAATTATTAATAACAGTTATTTGCTCGATTGAATAATAAATACCTTTAACCTTATAACTTTCAGTTATTCAAA